TTATAATATTTAGAAGGAGGTGCGTAGCCTTATAAGTACCGACTAATTATAAGCGCTAACCGGACGGCGGAGTTCGTATAAGGCTAAAGTTCTATATATATTCTGCCCGGGGGGGGGGGGATAGAATAGGCCTAAGGGACTAGCCCTATTAAAGAGGGGGTAGTGTAAGGAACTAAGTAGTACTATGGATTAGCACTATATAGGATCCGAGATACGCTCGGATCGCTGAGTGTTCGGTAAGACTAAATTACTATGTTAGCGTAGAGGGGGAAAAGTCCCATTTTCCTCCTTAAGTTAAAGTCTTTACGATATACGACTATTAGGTCCGAATAATACTATCCGTTATAGTGTATCTTTTCCCTGGTATTATAGCCTATTTCTTAATAGTCTTATACTTATAGTCTCTGTATTCTTTATACTCGTTATAGTAGTGGTATTCCTCCTTATAGCCTTTAACGGCGTAGATAGGGCAGGAAGCTAGGCTCTTATAGGTCCCCCGGGTATACCCGAATTTCTAGTAGTTAGAATACTGGGTTTTAGGGGTTATAGGCCTATATTTATAGACCTTTAGCCGCTGGCCGGCTATATAGAGCCCCTGTTTTAGGTAGTACTTCTATTCTTTAGTGGAGGGTATAGAAATAACCACTATGCCGTAAAACGCGTTTAGAGCCCCTAGCCACTAAGGCTTCCTTACTACCCTAATGGGGTTAAAGGTGCCGATTTTAGTAGCTAGGTCCTGTAGGCCTAGGCCCTGTTGTTATAGGCTTTGGTTTAGGGCCTTTTACGGCGGCTTAGAGGGGTCGAGTAGAGGGGTATCGCTACCCCTAAAGGCTCTGGAAGGCACCTGTTTAATACTAAGCTTAAACTAGTCGCCTATATGCTAGGGGGGCTAGAGAGGGAGGTTTAGCTCTTTAAACCACTGATTCTACGACTCTAGGAGCTACTACACGCTATAACTCGGCCCCGGGGTTAAAATAAGGTTCCCGTTAGTCGACCGGCTAATACCCGTAACTAAAGGGAATTTTAGGGCTTTATTAAGCTTGTTCCGAAGCGTGAGGGGGTCGAAGTTTTCCCTTGGAATCTCTGCCCCTGCCGTAGGTTATAGAATAACCTTAGGGATCTTTCTAGGGTCTGTTAGGAGGGGTGCCGGGGGTATAGAGGTGGGAGTGGGGGCTAAGGGTACTAAAGCCCCTGACATAGGGGCCTAGGGTGCTATACGGCCTTTTTTCACCTTTATAGCCTCGCTATAAAGGGGTTTAGGCTGTTCTGTAAGCCTGCGAACTGCCTAAGCTAGCTTATCGACCTTCTATTCGAGTATAGGAGGCTAGGGGCTTAGGGTTCCGTCGATAGTAGATTTAAGCCCTGCGGTTAGGGCCTTAATCTAAGGGATAGGGTCGAGGGTATAGGCCTATTAAAGCAGCTAAAGAGTCTATTAGAGTAGTTCCTTAGCCTATGCCTTACTAACCGAACTAGTCGACTTCTAGGGCTCGGCCGAGGTTTCTCCGGGGGCTTTAGCTATTCTAGGCGCCTTTTTAGCCTATTTAGAGCCTAAAAGGCTCGGTATTTTAGCAGGGGGGGCCCTAGAAGTAGGGGGGGGGCCTAGAGGGCGTTTCGGAAGCGCCTTCGGCTTCCGAGTCCGAGGGGGATTCGATTCGGGTCCTAGAAAAACGTCTAAGGGTAGGTGTGGAAGGGCTAAGATGCCTTTTCGAGTTTAGAGGCGTAGCGAGGGTTAAATCCTCTATAATAGAGGTATTACCTATATCTACCTCTCCTAGGCCCTCTATAGTTATAGGGGCGTTAGGGGGGTCGTTAGGGGCGTTAGGGGCGTTATTATGGCTAGCGTTATGGCTACTGGGTTATTGTTTATGGCGTTATAGTTAGGTGGAGGTCGGGGGTACGGCTCTGCGCGGCGAGGCCTGCTGCTTTGTTAGCGTGGGCGCACGGGCCACGTTAGACTCTTCCCCCGCACGCGGGGGAGTAGGCCCGTTTCCAGGCATTTTCGCACTTATAATACGCCTAAATTAGCGCCTGCGCAATACAGGGCTATAGATAGGCGTATAGAGCTTGAAAAGAGCTATCGATTGATATAGGTTTTGAGTGGTTTAGGGCGTTTGCGCGTAAAACGTAGGTCCCCCCACATGAGTTGTAAGAGGGATGGACGCTAACGTTATCTCCTCCGGGGGCTATAGTATATACTTCCACTATAAAGTAACACGCCTTATCTCTAAGGATAGGACTACCTTCGGTATATACTATTCCGCGGGCTTTAATAGGTGATTTTAGAGGTCCTAAAAGTCCAGTACTACTGGTTTCTATATAAGTTTTATCCTCTACAATAACTTTTCTTTTTAGGCGTCCTTAGAATACCCGACTCCGATATAGAAGATAGGCAGAGAGGAGAGGCTATCGCTAAGTTTATACTAGCCTATAATCTTATATAGCTCCTCGGCGTTCTTAACCTCCGTAATCCTTTCATTCTAGTATTCCCTACTAACCTATTATACTATTTTATAAAAGTCGTCGCGAGCTTTAGTATTATCCGGGTTATATTATTTATAGCGGATTCCCTCCTTATAAGCTTCCCTGTACTTATCATTCTACTAGGGCTTTTTATTTATAATAAGTCCTTAGTGTTTTATCCTGAACCGGCGTATAAGGCTTATAATAATATCGATTAGCTACTAAGTCTACTAATTAAGTCTATCTAGGTCCTGGTTCGGGGATTAGGTTTAGAGGCGTAGGTTATCTATAACCTCCCTCTTTATTATAGCCTGCTTCTCCTTATCCGCGGAGAGCTTATAGCGATTAGGCCTAATAGTATCGTTTACTAGGGCGATATATATAGTACCGACTCTGTTTAATAACAGGTAATAATAGGCCGGAGCCTCGGCCTCTACTATTACCCTTATATCGGTATATAATACTATTAAGAAGACTAGGTCGATAACGGTATACGCCCCGCCACGGCTACAGATATTTTCTCTGGATATATTATATAAGGATAATCCGTGAAGGCGTTTATTAGGCTCCTATTAGGGTATCCTATATATCCGAATCTCCCGAGATTCCTTAGTATATATTTAGGAAGTTTATACTATTTACCCGGACTAGGAGTAGGTCCTTAGATCTAGGTATTAGCAATTTAAGCTACTATAAATTAAGGTTATTCTTAGCATATATAACTGCTCTGAGTTTATCCCCCGGGCTAAGCTATATTCGTATATTGGAGTACTTCTTATAGCCGGGTAGATTAAGTAGAGTACGGAGCTATATCTCGCCATTTAGCGGCTCCTAGTATATTATCACGTTTAGTTTTCGTTCCTAAACGATTATAAACGCTACTTTTCGCAGGTTACGGTTTTTATCCGCGTTTTATTAAACATAGGGAAGTTCTTTCCGGGGTTCGGCCCCTTAGTAGCCCTATTACCTACTACTAGCTAGTATTAACCTCGGAGAGTCCTCGTATTATCCCTCCTTATATAGTATCCTATAAAGTGCTTATCTTTAGCCACGAGCATATCGTTATCGGCTTCTTAGTTATGGTAGGTGTTAATATCTGGTCCTCCCTTAACTTTTTCATAGTCTTAGGCTAGCTGGTTCTTTTAGAACTAGCGGGGTTAACCTCTATCTTCACCTTATCCTATATCTCCCTGCTATTACTAGCTCCGATATTACCGGGGTCAGAGATAGTAGCCCTGCCCCCCCCGGTTATACCGGGGTAAGCGGTATTCGTGGCTAGGGGTGCCTCTTAACCAGGTTCCTCTGCCCCGTCTAGCTATTTCGGGTTCCGTAGTTTCGCGTAGAGGGCTATACCCTCTACTCGAATCTTACTAAGCTCGGCTTTCATAGGAGGAATAATCTTACCTTTTACCCTGCTAGGCCTTGCCGGATTTTATATGGTCGAAGTTAGGATAATACCGTTTATCGGATCTTCTAGTTATATTATAGCGCTAGCATTATAGTAACTTTATAATAGTATCCTGGGAGAGAGGCGATAGTTATAATCGCTATCTTAGTAGTTTTATCGCTTTTACTCTTATTACGCGCCCGTGGTTAATAGGCATATCGTTTTTAGTTATATAATTATATATATTATAAGTGCTAAGATAGTAGTAAAAGGATAAATAAATATATTATATTGTAAAAAGTTTATAATATTTAGATATAAAGGACCGTCTATAGTAAAAGAAGCTAGTAAAGATCTTAGTAGATTATTTAGAGAAACTAGAAGATGAATTTAAGGGCAGATATAATAGAAAGGTTATATTATTCCGTTCCGAATAGCTTTAATTATATAACTAACGCTTTAGTATAATTAGGAGGTGTATTAAATAGACTATAGTTTTTAGAGATATATAACAGCCACAGATTTACCTAAATTGATTATAACCTCGGTAATCCGGGCAAACAGACACCTACAGTTTTTTACTATAGATATAACGGTAGTAGCAGTTCCCTAACGGCCTGGCAGGTTACACAATTATACACAATTATCTCAATCAATTTAGCCTTTGATTTTGACCGGATTTAACGGTTACGGTTACGCTGTATCTGACAACGATTCTCTCCTGCCTTATGCTTCTTGCGATACTACCAGAATCGCCGCCCCCGCTGAATCGTGAATCTGTCCGCCCGGCATTGGCTTGACCCTGGATTGGACGAACTAGATCCAATTTTCAACGACTTTTTTTTCATTTCTTTTGATATCCCGAGACACCGAGGGAACGAGCGCGAGAGTCGTCCTGTTTCCTATCTTCATAATTTGTGGTATCCAGCCAAGGCGGGGTCTTGATTACAATCTCAATTCCGCCCCAGATTGATTATCGCTGTCTGTGTGGATGAAGTTCTACGACTCCCATGCGATCGGAGCTGAGAATTGCGGGGATACTTCGTCCTTCTGAACACAACAGTTGATACTGGAGGCCTGTCATTCGCGCGGGGAGACCACCTTAATCGGGATTGATCTGTGCCGAGCAGGTTGCTTGGCGGAGCTCAAGACGATGGGCTTTCAAGGCATATACCGCGCCATATACGACTATGCACCCCAGGCAGATGGCGAACTCTCCATCACTGAAGGGGATCTGCTCTATATCTTGGACAAGAATTTCGACGACGGTTGGTGGAGAGCGAAGAAGAAGGCTAACGCAGAAGATGGTGACGAGCCCGTGGGCCTCGTTCCAAACAACTACGTCGAGGAGGTACTGTAATATCATTGCTAAACTGGCATTCGAAAGCTGACATCTCCTAGGCTCAGCCTATGACCCGAGCTCGTGCATTATACGAGTACACGCGCCAAACCGACGAAGAGCTGTCGTTCCCAGAGGACGCAAACCTAACTGTGTACGATGCGTCAGACGAAGATTGGATTCTCGTTGGCTTGGGGGATGATTTTGGCTTCGTTCCTGCGAATTACATCGAGATCCAAGACGCTGAAAATGGCAAGTCAGCAGCGGTCCAACCCATGCCCCCTTCCCTGCCTACACGTCCAATGCCAGTTGCTGCTGAGCCAGGGCATCCCTATGAACCCAGTGCCGGCACGTCTGTATCACCTCCATTCATCCCGGCATCTTCAGCTACAGAAGACCCAGCGGCTGCTCTGGCTAGCGTCATACATGCACGCTCCCTTCGTCGGGAGTCGACGCAGGCGGCGCCGAGCCCTCAGTCATCGGAGTTTCGTGTGAGTAATGAAGGGGACGACAAGAATCGACGGACGCCACAGTTGCCTGCGAGGCCTGCTTCGGAAACCACCAGTTCACAGGCAGGGGACGAACCTCGCAGACACCCTCACGTAGCTGACGGGGTCGAGGTTGAATCGCCACCTCCTCGTGTTCCGGGAGGCTTTCATATGTACAACATCAATGAAATGGTGTCTATTATGGGCAAGCGCAAGAAGATGCCGACGACTCTCGGAATCAACCTAGGTACTGGAACTATCCTCATCGCACCGGAAAGGACGCAGGACGGGCCCACGCAGGAGTGGACGGCCGACAAGATGACACATTACTCTCGAGAAGGCAAACACGTCTTTCTGGAGCTAGTCAAGCCCAGCAAAAGCGTTGACTTCCATGCGGGGGCAAAAGATACTGCTGAAGAAATCGTGGGGGCCCTGGGTGAGCTGGCTGGCGCAGTCAAGGCCCAGGGATTACGGGAGGTCATTCTTGCTGGAAGCAGCCACCACCAGAAGAAAGGACAGGTACTCTACGACTTCATGGCCCAAGGGGACGATGAGGTTACCGTCGCAGTTGGCGATGGAGTTATCATTTTGGATGACAACAAGAGTGAAGAGTGGTGGCAGGTCAGACGCCTCAAAAACGGAAAGGAAGGTGTTGTGCCGAGCAGTTACATTGAAGTAACCGGTACCGTCTCGCCACCTAGCTCCTCCGGTTTGAACGCAGGTCTGTCAGTTGTCGAGCAAAATCGACAGGAGGAAATACGCCTGACCAAAGAGGCCATGAAAGCTGGTCAACGAGACGGGCAAGAAATTCAGGTAGGGCCGGGAATGCCTTTGCCTGACCGAGGCAGCAGCCTCCTAGCTCAGGAACGTGGTAATAACTCTGGGCAGCGGAGCAAGCGCGAGACCGGCCAGTTGGGATCCAACAACTCAAGGAAGTCGAGTGAGTGGCTCGCCCATGTTCTTCTCCCTTTCTCCCAGCCCAAACAATTTATATTATACTTGTGCTCACACTCTGATCAAGGGCCTGATGTCGAAAAAGTGCGGACTTGGACGGACAGGTCTAAGTCATTCAGCGTCGAGGCCCAATTCCTCGGTCTCAAGGACGGCAAAATCAACCTCCACAAGATGAATGGCGTGAAGATTGCCGTACCGATTGCAAAGATGTCTTTGCCAGATCTGGAGTATGTTGAACAGCTGACAGGCATCTCTCTCGATGAAGACAAACCTCTCTCCAACGTCAAGAAAGTAAACAAAACCTCCCCCAATGTTATCAGAGCCTCGAACATTGGAGACAAGATCGGAGCTGGTGCGTCAGTGCAGCGCCCACAAAAGCCCGAGTATGACTGGTTTCAGTTCTTTCTTTCCTGCGACGTTGCAGTGGGCCTATGCGAACGATATGCGCAGGCCTTTTCCAAAGAGTCTATGGACGAAAGTGTCTTGCCAGATGTCGATGCAATGGTTCTCCGCAACCTTGGTCTGCGCGAAGGTGATATTCTGAAGGTCATGCGCAATTTGGATGCCAAATATAGTCGGACAGGCTCGCGTGGAAAGAAAATCAAAGATGGGATTGGCTCGGATGACGACGGCAGCACAGAAGGAGGGCTCTTTTCGGGTCCTGGTGGCGTACTTCGCAATAACACAAGGAAAGGCCGACCAGCCCCTGCGGTTCAAGCGAGCGACGTCGTGGATGCCAAAGGGCTCGCCACGAAGAGCGAAGACAAGTCTCAACCCAATAAGCCCGCACCTTCGACTGACGAACCCAGGAATCCCCAGGCCAGTGGCAGTGGGTTTGATGATGACGCTTGGGACATTAAGCCGGCAAAGAAAGTCGAAGAGCGGCAAAAAGCGGCATCGACGGAGTCTGCTAGGCCACCGGCATCAATGACGAGTTCAATGCAGGAATTATCTCTATTAACAGCTCCGCTTGAGCCAAGCCGACCCCAGACCCAGACGCAAGTTCCGACCCAGTCGCAAGTTCCGGCGCCATCACAGACCATTACCCCAGAAAACACGCAAGTGGCGGCACAAGGGTCTCAACAGCCGGGCGCAACTCCTTCTTTCTTTGCGGCAAACTCTCCAAACTCTTCAGGACTCCAGCAACGGCAGCGGCCGACTCCGCCGCAGATAACGCCAACTCAGGGATCTGCTCTGATACCTCCCCCAGCAGCTCGACCGTTGTCTGCGCCCCAATCCACACAGCCAAGCGCATTCGCGCCTCCAGCTTTAGGCCCGCTCCCCACCGGAGCGAACTACCAAGCTCGTGTTGCCCCTCCTGGGCAGAGCATGGAGGAACTGAATCAAGCTCGTTCTCGGCAACAGTTCATGGGACAACTGCAACAATACCCAATGGCAGGCTTCCCAGGTCAACAACATGCTCCCGATACACATCCTTTTGGGGTGAACATTCCGCAGTTCATGCAACCAATGGTGACGGGGATGGCGACCCCCCAGTCCCAAGCCCCATTTGGCGAACCTGGTCGGCCATCTTCACTGTCTCCCTTACCTCCCCAGGCCACCGGTTATCCTATGTCTTACTCTCCATCTCTACCACTCCAAACTCATCCCACAGGCAATGTCAACTCATTTTTACCGCCAGCGCTGACCCCTCAGCAAGCGGGAATGCCGTCATTCCAGCCGCAGCCTACGGGTGCCGACTCCTTCAAATCGTTGTCTGCATTGCAACCTTTGCAACCTCAAAAAACGGGACCTGTGCCCCCCGTCCGGTTTGGCATAACCGGCGAGGCCAAGCCCCTGGCCCCGCAGCCAACAGGCCGCCGGGCGAACCTTGCCCAAGCAAGTAAGTTAACAAGGAGAATCTAAATACGATGGACAAGCGCTGCTAACATGCTTCTAGCGCCGAACAATCCTTTCGGCTTCTAGTTGATTGAGTTCTTGCAAAGTTCCATATTCCGTCGTCACTTGTACTCCTGAGGGGCGGCACCTGCACTTTGTGTCCCTAGTTATGTGCTTTCAGTTTCATGCATTAAGAATTCCTTTGCTTGGCCGTAGGGAAGCTTGGATAGGACATTTATTATTTATCAGACATAATATCAACCTATATCTGGTACCGGTTGAGATTTTGGCATGTAATGGGGAGCCAGCGAATTCAATGCCCAGAATAGAACCTAACGGGGCACCAAACCCTCCACTCATTACTCGAGCCGTGTACATCACGACGCGGCTAAGGACATGCGTTTAGATCATCCCACGCAGATCAAAGCCTATAGCCGAATAAGGAACCTCGACCGATACCAGTTCAATTCTATAGGCGCCGGCGACAGCTTGCAGCCAGTCAGACACGGGGAAATGCAGGGCTCCAATGACATGGCGTAGCCAATACCATGCCCATTTACCAATGTGGGTTCAAAGGGCGTTAGGTAATTCAGAATGGGCGCCGGAACACAAAATCTTATTCAGGCCTTTCGTCGCCGTAAACGGCCTTCAACGGCCGCCGCTGGTTTGGCCTCAGTATGAGCATCGACGGGGCCGCGAATCTTTGTTTCTGTACCCGACGGCTGAGGTGGCTGAAAGCGTTTCCGAACTGCGCGGATCATCATGACAAACCAGTAGAAGTTGAGGCTGTTGAGGATGAGATTGCTGATCAGATAAGATAGCGCAAGCCAGCATGGGATCTCAGTTGTCCCTTTTGCAAAGCCCATTGTGTCCACGTTGTATCCGATCTGTGAAACGCCCACTCCATCGGGGGCCATCGCTGGGCCGGTGCTGAGGGCAGCCCAGATGTCCCCCAAAACCATGCATGACTGATACGTCCCGTAGACTAGGCGGCAGCTGAAGAACGTTGCAATGAGGACCAGTCCGTTGTAGAGTTGCGCCCTTGACCCGGTCAGGGCTAGCTTGTCGAGAAACCAATGAATATTGAGAAAGGGAGTGGAAAGCTCCCACAGGATGAACGTTGGCGCATAATAATTAACGAAAGGTCTCTATGGAAGATGAATATACGTTAGTACTAAGCGAATGCGACTACGGCGCTCAATACGACTCACAAACCCAAAGGAGTAGACGAGAAGTGCGCTCACGGCGTGAGCCAGAGTCCCGGGGCCGAAGACATCCATATTGCAGCTGGTGACAACAAGGTCCCAGAGGAAGTACCCAGCCGCGAGAGCTTGTATCATGCCAAGAGCCCCAGTATAGCCCCAGATACGAGCCTGCCAGTCCATCTTGTTCCGTTCCGAGTCGACAAACATAATCCATAGCGCAAGAGCATTGATAAGCGTGCTCTGTACCAACGAGACCACGTGGGCGTCCCAGTTAACACGTCTCTTCCGGGGAAGCTTGTCGTACCTCTCGCCGACCAGGCATCTTGAAATGAAAGGCGAGATGGGCCAGTAGATAAATGTATACAGTAGGCAAGCGAAAAGTACTTCGTGGATGTGAAGAGGCAATGTGGGGAGAGAAAAGAATTCAGCCCATGGCTGGATTGCGTGGACAAGGAATGAAGGCGGTTTGAATGGGAACGGATCCTTCATTATCTCTCACGAAGACCTCTGTCTTGTCGATAACCTCGGCAGGATATGAGTGAGGTGATGCGTCGAGATAAGGCAACACGGGAGGCCTACCTAGGTAAAGAGCCTTCTCCAAACAACAGCAACGAGTGGTTGTTGAATAGACCGTAGTTTTACGGTTACGTAACGGGCACGGATTTGACCGAAGGATTGTAACCTGTCGCATAGGCACACGGACCACGACGTGGTCCCTAGGGGATCCATGCCTGACTAAGGGGACCTCGGGCATCAGGATATAACAAGGACGGATACCGGAAAAGACCGGATAGGATCTAAATAATATAGTACCCATAACAGAGTCTTTACTACCTAAATTAAGGGTATAAGAGACTTATATAGATATAACTGAATATATATATATATATATATATAAGATTTCTGCTCTATTAAGTTAATTATATAAGTGCTATTTTAATATACGATGGTTATAAGCCCGGTTTATAACGCCTAAATAATAGATATTAATAAGGCTGCCCTATTCTACTATAAGGGTAATTATATTTTATAAGCACTTATTAAGTAACTATTATTAATCTAATTAGAGTAATTAAACGATTAATTAACCTACTAACCTACCTATTAATTAATTAATTAACCGATAAATAAGTAAAGATATCTTCTAATATATCTAATATCGAATAGAAAGTAGCCGCTATTACCCTTATTAACTAGAGGCCGATTTTCGGTTAACTTTCGACACGCCTATTAACTATGGGCGCGTAATAAGAGTAAAATCGATAAAACCACCGAGATAGAGATTATAACTACCGCCTCCCCCCCGGGATACTATTAAAGCGGCACCGTAATACCGGCGCTACGTTATAGCTGGAAGAGTTATAGGATAGCGTCCCCCTAACCTTAATTATACAGAATTCGTAATAGACCCACTTTTCGTAACACGAGCGCTCCCCCCCCCCCTCCTAAGGCAGGATATAGCGCGGAACCGATATAAGACCGAAAGGGGACTACCGCGCCCCCCGGAACTAAGAGTAGCTAAGATTAAGGCAGAAATTTAGGCTTTACTAGCTAATAGGAACACGATTAATTAGGTTATAAAGCTCGTAAAGGAGCTAATCACGATACGTAGTACCCGTAACGACGCTAGTATACTACCGCTAGTATACCTATATATAACTATCCGCTATATTATCCGTAAAGAACTCTGAAAAGGAATAAGCGGTATAAGAGAGACCTAGGCTAATATTATAGCCCGAGTACCCGCGCGGCGTCGCTATAGAACCCCGCCCCCCCTAAAGTAATTCCCGTTAAGTATTACCAGGGATTAATAGTCTACTAAGGAACCCTCCCCGAAAACTAGCCCCTTAGAGCTAGGACCCTAAAGGAAATTATTTAAGCTATAAACGCTATAACCACCTAATATAATACTATAATAGCACGGAAGCTACCTAGCGGATATATTTACTTTACCTTTACTAAAGGGGTATAATAGTAAACGACCTATAAGGAGTAATAAGTTAAAAAGGCCTTTAGTAAAGGAGCTACCCTAGCCGTATAAACCTACCCTATACTTACTAAGGCTATCCCCCGGGAGGTCCTTAACGCCCTATCCGAGGAGGACTTATTAGTATCCCTATAAGATATAAACCCCGAGGCTAAAATCCTCTAAGTATAATAACGAGTACCCCGCTATGGTACTAATAGGGTAATACTCCTCCTTATCGAATCGGCTTTACCGGAAAGGGTAATAAGCCTTATCCGGAATACCCTCCTCTTTAAAGGGGGTAACTATATCTATAAACTATATAATCCTGACTTTAGCCCCCTTAGGTGCTATAAATACCTATACTTCGGCTATAAGGCTAACGGCTACCTTATAGTAAAAAGGGTATATCGCTATTACGCTAAGCCCGAATTAGCGTACTTATAAGGGCTAGGATACTATAACGCTATAGCGCCTAACCGCTCCCGCCGTTATACTGCCTATACCGGAGACTATAATACCTTCGACGACTTATACCGATTACTAAGAAAAAAGACCGAGAAGATTCGCGAAGCGTATGAGTACTAAGCTAGAGATTTCGATATTACACGCTAAACCGAAGCGGTATACCCGCGGCAGCTATAGATCTTCTCCCTGATTATTATCGCTTAGGACTAGGACCGGCCCCTTTATAGGGGCCGGGGACGCCCCCCGAAAAGGACTAAAGGATAGGAGGGCTCCCCGATACCTAGCCCGATAAGCGCTTATATAGTCCCCCGTAGGGCTAGTAAGGCACCGTAGTAAGAGCTATAGAGCTAGGACTAAACCCCGGTTATACCAGGTATATTCTCTTAACCCCCCCCCCTACTAACTAATAAGAATCTAAATCCTTTCGTGGAATATAGAGAGGAGTTAGGCGTAGCGGGAGCTCCCTCTTCGGTACTATGCTAAGTATAATATAATGGTAATCCAGGAACCCGGCCTTAACCCTTTCACGAAAAGCCCTACCTGCCCCTCCTAAAGGGTATACCGGCTAATATAGGGAGGAGGCCGCGCCCTTATATATATATATAAGAGATACCCGCTATATATATAGACATGGCGGGCCTACCACGATACCTACGCGGTTATATTTAGGATTAAAGATAATACCCTTATTATCTAGTTAATCTACTTAGAGAACTACTAATTAACTAGGATCCCCTAGAATATACCCCTATAAGATATATTCGATATAGTACTACCGCGGGGCCGCCACGTCCTTATAGGGGACTTTAACCTATACTACCCCCTATAGTTATAACCACCGCGTTATTACCCCCGGGCCGATACCTTACTTACCCTTATAACCGGGTAGAACCTAGACCTAGTAACCCCCTCTAGGACTACTATATAGTACTGCCCGGCCAGCGTGCTAGTATTATTAACCTTATATAGGTAATATAGGGGCTCCGCTACGATTTCGGCGGCCCCGATAAGACCGTTATCAGATCGGACTATTACTTATAGACGGCCTAAATCTACACGGAGATAAATATTATACCGAGTACCGCGATAATACCACCGCGGGATCTAGGCGGGCCCTGCTAAGTCTAGAAGGACTTTAACCCCTTATAGGTCCCCTAGCTTATAGCTACGTAACTATAGTAGACCGGCCCCCTTATAATACTAGGAGATATCGATTTAGTACTAGATAACCTAATCGGGGACCTTATAACTATAGCCGATAAGACCGTATATTGCCACCGCAGGGGCCCTCCTAGACTTCTACCTACCCCTTAGTGGAATATAGAGCTAACCGCCCTTACCTAGGAAGTAAGGCGCCTTTATAGTAGATATATATATAGGAAGTCACGGAACCTATAGGATAAGTTCTAGGAAGCGGAAAAGCGCCGCGATAAGGCTATAGCGGTAGCGAAGCGGCTATACTAGCGGTACCTACTATATAAGACTAGGAAAAACGATAACCTCCTCTAGCGATTATAAAAATAGGTATATATAAAAGGGGATATACCGCCGGACCCCTTATTAATACCGCTACTAAGCCGAGATAATAGTAATAGCCTAGCCAATATATACGCGGAGAAAGGTAAAGTCCTTAACCGGAAGTTCTTCCTACCCCCCATCCTTACTACCCTTAGGCCTTTAGGCGCGGAATTCCCCCCTAAATAGGATATCCGCCACGACGTTACCGTAGTGGATATATAAGAGCGCCTTAAGAAGACTAAACCCTAGGCAGTACTAGGACCCGATAGACTCCTAGCAGGGCTCTTTAAGTTATATAGACTTCCCCTATACTAAAGACTAAACGCTATCTTTATAGTATACCTTAAAGCGGGTTATTACCCGAAGAGGTGCTATTACGCTACCGTAGTAGTCCTTAAGAAGGAAGGCTGGCCGCCGGCTAACTATAAGATAGTAAAAGGCTAATAACCGATATTACTCCTTTATATAACAGGTAAGGTCCTTAAGGAGATATTAGCTAACCGTATCGCCGCCGTAACGGAGGAGTATCGGTTCCTCCCGGAAGGATAAATAGATAACCGGATTAGGCGGAGTATAATAACGGTAGTATAAAGAGTGATAGAGGCTATAAGGGCGAGCTAGGTCTATAGCGGTACCGCTTCGATACTCTAACTAGATATTAAAAGCGCCTTTAATACTATCCCCTACTCTTATCTCCTTAAGGTACTTAAAAGGAAGGGATTCCCCTGATAGCTTATTACTATAACTAATAGCTTCCTCTAAGACTATATAGTTTAGATATTACTTAATAGCGAAACGGCCCCCCTATAATACCTTTATAGGGGTATACCGTAAGGCTCCCCGATCTCCCCTATCCTCTTTATCCTATATATCTTTACCCTTTACGAGGAGCTAGAAAGAGTACCTAAAACGATAATAGCAGGATTCGTTAATAATACGAATATTATCGTCTTTAGTACGATAAAGGTATTATCTTACCGCTATATAGCGTGCTTACCTAAACTAGGAGATAGCGAGCGGACTATACTTCGAACTAGCTAAGTACGTTTATATCCCTTTTACGAAGTCACTCTAACCCTCCTTTACCCCGCTCCTCATTAACGCTACTTCGGTGCTAATAGCGGAGGCGATAAGGCTCCTAGGCGTCTAGCTTAATAGGAAACTCGATTTCCGGCGATACGCTAAAAAGGTAAAGAGCCGACTAGCTATAGAAATATACGCCCTCTTAAGGCTTAGTATAGTAACGTGGGAGTATAGCTTCGCAGATCTCAGAAGGTTATACCTTATAGTAGTAAGGCTAGTAGTGGCCTACTATGCCTTAGCCCTTTATAAGATAAGGGCCGGCCCCCGGTAAGGCCCTGTAGCGGTATTTATAGCGATATAAAACCAGTACCTTAGATTAGTAGCCGGAGCCTATAAGGCTACGCCGGTTAGGATCCTCGAAAAAAAGACCTTTATCCCCCCCCCTTAACCTATATCTTTTAAGCCTAAGCGCCCGAAAGATCCTTTAGATATAAGAAAAAGGGACCGAAGATAAGATATTAGCCGGAGTATACGCCGTGACGAGAGCCCTAGTAATATCGAATC